AGCTTACACGGGCTTATGAGACCTGACATTAAACTATTTTTGGTTCACTTTTGGGCTACTTTCTTACTCACCCACACAGAACAATAAAGTGAATGAAAGTGTGTCTTTTTTTTTTTTTTTTTTGGATATGACCTCAACTCCCTGAGCCTAGGCTAGTGCTATTGTAAGCGCTGCATCATTTAATGATGTTCACACATTTTTCTATCTTAAAAGTAGGTGCTTTTTTTGGCTGCAACAGACCCAGAACAAATTCTTCCAGAACCTCACCTCTGGACACTTCAATTTTCCTGCCTAAATGTATTAATGACCATTTTACTTCCATCTACTCCTGAGCTAATTTCTTCTCACTGGCTCTCACCATCAGATGTATTTATCAACATGGACCATATCCCCTCTCAGCTTTTGGTTTTTTTGGATTAAAAAAGCAAACTTTCAGTCTCCTTCTGCAAAACCAGTACTCTGTTTCTCCCAGCACTCAGTCAGCTGACCTCTGTGTCTGTTAAATTAGGGTCCATCCTTCCCAGCTTCCCTGCTCCCCAGCACCACACCCCTGCAGGGTGACAGTAAGCTGCTGGTCCTCCTGCACCAACATCCTTCTCCCTGCTTCTTCCAAAGAGCTGCTCTTATTAAAAGTTATGGGTATCAAACAGCTAAATCTGTAACTCTTGCATTTCACACCACTGGATTTCACACCACTTTAACTATGCCAGTGCTCAAGGTACCCCAGCTTTCCATGAAATGTCCCTCTCTCCCTGGACCAACAACATTTACCACTTCTGCTGTGTCTTTTAGGAATAGTCACACTCTCGTTGTGACTCTAAACAGGGTTAAACCAGATTAGTTTCAAGCGATCCTTTGAAAACCCACTGGCATTCTCCTCTCAGCACAGTGACTTCTCCTTTCAGCACAGCCCATCATCATTCCCATTCCCATCAGTTCCCAATCACTGTAATTAACAGGAACAGCAAAACACACAAAATGCGTCAGATCAAAGGTCCCTATTGCCCAGCAGCCTCTCCTTACCAGGGGGCAGTAGCAGACATACAACAGCCAGGAAAGCATACAGAAACTATACTGAAGGGTGTTGCTATTTCATATTACAGGTCTTGTTTAATTTTTCTCTTATGAATTTGCCCAAATATTTTTCAAATCCAGTTAAACCTTTTAGTATATAGAACATTTGGCGTTAGTAAATCTCAGAATTTAATTTGAGCTGACTTGCAGTGACGAGTTCAACCTTTGATGTTACTTCAGATATTTAATGAAAGAAGTGTAGTTTTAGTCCATCCAAAGCTTTCAGAAGAGGACACTCATGCATCTGTCTTACTAACAAAAGACCACTACATTAGTCTAGTGTAACCTACTTTTGGTGCTATCATGTCATACATATTTTTTCATATTTGCTTTAGTAGCTTTGTACAGTATTGAGACTTGTACTAAAGAAGGAGACTGGCATGGGAGGATGAGAAGCACTGAAAATTCTGTCCATCATATTGATAGGTATTCCCCCTCTCACAGGATCACCCTGACTGGGTAGGAACAGATCCTAGATTTCTTATATCTTTATGAGGACTCCAGCACAGAGACTGGCTGAAGCCAGGAGGGTCAGATAAGCCAGGTGCATTTCTGCCTTGCCAACAATGCAGTTTGGCTTTTTTAAACTGCATGCCCCCATCACCCACTTTGCCATTGCCCTTCTATCTCCTTCACTGAAATCTAACACAAACCAAATATTTAATCCTAGAACCATGTTTATACTTATTTTCTTTTCTATCCTACTGACCTGTATGTACATGTAAAAGAACCTTTTACTTCACATACTTTGGAGTTTGCAACTAAGCTTGAACAGTTGGCAAACCCTCCCTGTTCCTACACTTCCTGACATATCAGATTTTTTCCATCCCCAAAGACTTTTTGCTTATTCCTAAAAGCCTTTCTGAAGCAGTTATTTGTCCAAAGAAATACTGAGCCCTTCCTATATGTTTTCTTCTCACTTGCTTGGACTTTGTTTAGGCAGGAGAACCTTGGGTTTCCATAAGGCTCCAGATCCCCTCCAGGAGCTTTCCCCTGCCCAGGGACTCCCTTACATATCACATTTTCAAATGGAAGAGCTGGAGCTGTCCTGGTTACTGCAATGGCAGCAACTCGCAGCCACCTCTAGGAAATTCTTAGGGACAGAACTCACGTGCCATTTTAATCACTTTTTTTTCCCCTAAATCAAATAATTATGTAGCTGTTGTATCTATGACTCCCTAAGCCCTTCTGATTAGCAGCAATTGTTCTGCAAGTAGATCTGGTTATCTAAAGTGTCCTGTAACAATAAACCCAACCGGAAATGGTATCTTTTTAACATGAAAAACCTTCATAGGCAAATTTAACCCTTGAATCCTTAGCATACTCTTAGTGCTACCCTGATAGAACTTTCCAGAATAAAATGTAACTTTGATTAGTTTGCAATTGGCCGAAACCTAAAGTGCTGAATTTAGCTTTTCCTGTTTCCCTGATGAAAGGGAAACTTATCTTCACCCATGAGAATCCAAAAACTTATGGATTATTTCAAATTTCATTACATGCCACTGAGTAGAAAGCTTACTTTGCTCCTTATAATTTTGACAACAGCACTACCTAAACTGTGAGTGTTCAAGTGGCTTCAAATAAAGACTTAAGACTGAGGAGGGCAGAAGAGATTCAACACATTTCAAGGCCAATCATTTTTTTCCAGTATGCTATCACATGAGCATTAAAAAAAACCCCAACACCATCAAAAGAACAGATGAGGCAGCACTCATCTGAAGATTATTACTCTGAGACTCAGGTCAAATTTGCACCTCGCTTCCATCAAGCCTTTTCTTTTTTTTTCCCTCATGTTTTCTACTTGCATGCTTGCCAATGAAGTGCAAAAGGTTAACATTTACAGTGATTTTTATTGTACCAACTTTTAAATAATTACAGATGTAGTCAGAAGCTTTGTACTTCTATGTTTATTGTTCAGCCTACAACACAGATGCAACAATGTCCCAATACAACCACTGAAAGCACAGAACAACTATGTTTCAGGAGGTTTTTACAGGCTGTCACTCAGTTTCTTTATTCTTTCCTCAGTTTTGCAATGAGAGTGGTTGAAATGACCACAGACAAAGCAGGACAGCGCTAAGCTGCCTTCCTCAACAGACCCAGCTGGGTATCTATGTTTCACCATCATCCCTAAATTACTTTAAAATAAAATAAAATTCAAAAAAAAATCAAATCATCAAATCCAGCAAGTTTCCTGCTACCAGAAAAATGCCATCTAGCCCTGTCCCCACCTCCCACTGATATTAAAGAGGTATACAAAAAAAGTCCCACCCAACAGGATGGGACTACAGCTTCAAAAAAAATTCAATAATTTAAATTTAATTTTAAAGATCTACAAGTGCTGCCAAGCACCACTTTATTTGTCAACAAAATATTTTGATTATTTGGCAGAACAAAGCAAGCTCCCTCCCTGCTTTCTCCACAGACATATTTGGCACTGGTTAATTTGTATGTCTTTAGACATATGTCAAGTCTGAAGCTGTTTCAGGCTTTAACCCCGCAGAACTTCTCTCTTTTAAGTACTTGTTTTTCTTAAAGCAGTAACAGCAGCAAGCTAAAGCCAAGAAGGGACTCGATCCTGCAACGAAATGGTTAAAAATCAGACTCTGCTGATGTGTGCTTCTCTGATCCATTACATTTCTCGCAAGCTGAGCTAAGAGCTGAGCACCAAGTATCAACTGTAATATGATCCAAGAGTTTATGGAAAAAATAACTGCACATACCAAGCGTGCACATTTAATAAGATTTTGTTTCCATTAAAATATTCAAGAAACATGATTTTTAAGATCTGCTTCTCTCTTCCACCGATTTTTAACGTTTCTCCTCCCCCTCCCCTAAATACACACCTCCTTTCCAAAAACCAAACCCTTAAAGAAAAAAAAAAAAGGAAGAAAGAAAAAAAGCAGTCCTACTGCAGGGAAGAGAGGCTTGAAAAACAACTTTGATTGGCACTTGGCCTGACCCACAGAGGAAGAAAAACAGTTTTTGGACAAAGAGCGCAAATATTTGAGCTCATTGACTTACAGGCTTTCTTAGCAATTGCAAGAACCAACCTGGAGCAAAATGTGTTGGGAGAGATTGAATTAAAATAAAACCAAAACCGGCATCGCGTTCATCTTGGGCGCTCGGGGGCTCGGCGCGTTTGAACAGCTCAGCAATTTTAATTCATTTGCACTGGACAAACAAAAAGCACCTCCACTAATGCTCCCCGTGAGGCAGATGTCGGGAGCAGGAGGTGCAGCCATCCAACCCCTCCGGGGGCACGGGGGGTCCGCAGGGAAGCGGCTGGGCACTGCAGGGATGGGGGCTTAGCGGGCTGGGGGGTGGGGGGTTCTTCGGCGCTTTTATATTTTTTAAGGCTCTAAGCTCGGAGCCCCCCCCACTTGACGGAGATCGTGGTGGTGAATTCCACCGTTGAAATACGTGGATAATAAACTTTCCAAGCGTGGCTGGGCTCCATGACCCCCCCCCTCCCCCCCCCAGCCTTCGGGGAGGCTGGGCGCCCTCCAACCCCTCGGGATGGGGGGAGCAGCCCGGGGCAGGGGCCGGTGACAGACGACCCGAGGGGGAAGGAGGCGATGGGGGCCCGGACTTGGCACCCCTGGGCACCCCCTGGGGCTACATCCCCCCTGGCCCCTCCGCTGCCCCCCACCCCACGCTCCCCGGGCACTCACCTCCCGGCAGAGCTCCCAGCCCACTGGGGAGCTGCCCCCCAGCTCTCCCACTGCCCTCCTCCATCCCCCCGCCGCAACGCTGCCCTACGGCCCATTTCTCCTCACGCCACTGTCGCTGTCCGTGCGTCCCCTCTCCCCCCCCCCGCCAGTCAAGTCTCTGTCCCACCGCCGCCCGCTCCACCGATCCCTCCTGGAAGCCTCTCCCGCAGTCCTCGCAGCTCCCGCCGCCTCTCAGCGGGCGCCCTCCGGTACCTGTCTCGGCACCTTCCGGCAATTGCCGCACACTCGGTACTGCCCGGCGGCGGCGGCGGCGGCGCTGCCCACAGGCCCGGAGCCGAGGCGGTTCATGGTGGCGGCGGTGGCGGCGAGGGCCGGGCGGGACGAGAGGCGCAGGACGGCTCCGGCTCCGCGGCGCTCAGCTGCCCGCGGCGCTCAGCTGCCCGCGCCGCCGGCCGCCCCCATCCCCGGCCGCGGCCCCAGCGCCCGCTCCGCGCCACCGCCCCCCGCGCACACCCCCGCGGGCCCCACCAATCCGCAGCGCCCGCCCCGCCCAGCGCCAACGCCGCCGGCCAATCACGACGGGTCACCCGCCGCCGGCCAATGGGCAGCGCCCTGCCCGGCTCCCATCTCCGGGCAGCCTGCGAGAGGGGGCGGGGTCAAGGGCGGGGCCTCAGCTGTCGAGGGGCGGGGCCGGCCTCGTCTCTGGGCAGCCTGGGGAGAGCGGGGCGGGGCCGGCGCCTCGGCGCGTGCCTTCCCCCGGCCAATAGTGTGGGCACTATGCAAACGAGGCGGGGGAGGCTCCGCCCCCAGGGCAGGGGCCTCGGTGGCGGCAGCGGTTCGCCTCGAGTCGGTCCCGCCGCTCCCGCTCCCTCCGGGAGGGTCCCCAGGCATCCCCAGCCTGGGGTCAGCTTCCTGCATCGCCTGCCTGCCTGCCGGCCGGCCCCGGGACCAGATCCAGTGCCGGGCCATCCCCACCCTCATCCTGCCGGGTGCCCCCTCCCCCGGGCGGGGGGCTGCCTGTTCGCGGGGCGGGCTGCGCTCCCGGGGCGGCGGGCTGCACATGCAGGGACACGACTGCCCTGCTGCCAGGCAGAGTAGGATGAGGTGTTTGCTCTAGGGGAAGTTAGGAGCACGCATGCGAGTGTATGTGTGCGTGTGCGTGTGCGTGTGCGTGTGCGTGTGTGTGTGCGTGTGTGTGTGTGTGTGTGTGTGTGTGTGTGTGTGTGTTTGCCTCAGGTCGCCGGGATTGTTAGGAATGATGAGTCAGGGTTTCTGGGCTCCATGCTAATGAGCGGAGATGGAGTGTATAATTAGGACAGAGGCAAATCTGTAATCTGCAGGCTCGGAGAGCTAGGCTATGAACCTCTCTTTTGCATCACGGCATCGCTGCAGTTTCCCTTGCCCGTGTGCTCTTCAGCTTTAAAATGCGCATAGAAGAGCTTTAACATGAGTAGTCATACCGATGTCAATAAAAGTTCATTAAGTGTCGATCGTTATATAATTCCTATTTTGAAACATGATGGTGTAGAAGGATTGGGGTATTTTACGGGAGCAAAATGCTATTACCCTATGAAATTTCTAAGCAGATTTGGAATGTTATATTGTTTTCAAGGTTTCTCCCGGCAGAACAATTTTCAATCAGCTGCTTGAGAACTGTGATCTGCTTTGTCTGGGAATACTTTGTATTTCTGCAAAATAAAGCGTTGTGTAATTTAGTCAACTGACTGGCTAAAAAGAGCACAATGCAATTAGTAATTTACATCTCTTAAAGGAGACTAATTGAACCTAGATCTGTCTTTGAGAACTTTGAAACGTTTCTCAGATCAGACTTTGCCACTGTAAACAAAACCCCATCCACAATAACATTCTCCTCCATCCTTTCCCCTCTATGGGTTTCCAAAGGGATCTTTTCCTCAGGCAATGAAGCCTTCAGCAGACAGGCGCTCTGTGGACTCCGCTATTGCCATTGAATTCAGTGTGGAATGCATCCAAATGTTACAGTCACAGGCAGCCGTACAAAATGCTTGGAGAGAAATAAATGGAGGAGGGTTGTCTTTTATTTTTTTTTGTTTTCTTTTTTCCCCCAAGCAGTGTACTAGAAATGGTATCCCAACACGAGAAAACAGTTTGCTTGAGTGGAGGTACTTGCTGTGCCATGTCTGAATCCCACATACTGCAGCATGGTGCTATTTAAACAAGGGAAGACTTGTAGCCAAACAGGTTAGTTTCCATCATCTAATATGAATGTAATGCTAAAATTTAAGTAAACAATATGAGTTATGTAAATGGCTTTTTATTTCTTGCTGAACTCCATTGTAATGTTATCTGAAATAAGAATTTTTAAAAGAAACAGAGGAGGATCAGAGTTATTAAGCCACAAGCAAAGGAGAGTTCACTCTTCAGCTCAAGCAAGATCACTTTGAATCATTTGCTGTTAAAGCATCTGGTTCAAGTTTGAAACACAGATAAGGGAAAGATTTTGGCTGTGTTACTCCTTACATTTAACATTGGAACATTGGCAAATACTCAGATTTCATTAATAGCATCCATTCATTTATTTTATATTGGCAATGGCAAGTACACATGACTAGACATCCTCAGAAATGTAGTTGGGTCCCATTCCCCTGCTGAAATTATTTCTGCCTTGAATGACAACTTCGGATCTTTAGCAAAGTCCATTAAACCCAGGAAAATTTGGCATTAGCCAGGCATGAAAGTTAGGCTGATTTGTAAGGCAATTTAAAATTCAAAAAATTTGATATCTAGTCTCTGTTGTGCCGCAAAGGTCTTGTGAAAGAGAGTGGGACATGCATGCCCAGATGCTTGAAGTATTTGGTGGACTAACCTTCACTTAAACAATAAGCACTTAAGTACCTTTGTGGTTCCCAGTCTTGCCTTTCAGTACTTTTGTATCTGAGAAATGTCAAGAGAAGCATAAACTTTGAAAGGGTTTAATTGTTTTTGGAAACAATACAGCAAATGGAAGTTGCCTAAAACCCTTTCTTGCACCCAACGAAAACTCTCTTGGATATCTTTTCTGAAGTTCATTTTTCCCACTGCATTTTCTTTTTATAAAGAGTTTTAATGCCTAATAGAGATCAGAAGTATACCTAACAGGGCCAGACACAGTGCTTACCTGGTATCAGATAATTAGTGTACAAACTAGAGAGAGTATCAGAATTTTCAAAACATCTGAACTCTGTCTAGAAGCGGTGTTTGGAAATGAACTGTTGTGATCCGTGTGACACCGATCCTGTAAAACGCTGTGTATGTGCCATCTGCAGAGTCCTGCTGCCTGCAAAGGCTTGTGCGTGTGGGCCCGATTTTGAGCTCTTGACTCATTCCATTTTGAGTTAAACATGTGGATAAGTACTGCAGAATAAAAGCCTGCCTTTGTACAAGCTGGTTTCTTGGTGAACATATTGACATTCTTGAAAGTTCTCCTTTTAAACTTATTTCTCAAAGAAGTATGCAAAAATATCCAGTGCTCTCTTTACAATTGTCTGGCAGTTTTATGATCCAACTGCGTCTCGCCATCCACTGCTGTGGATTTCCTTCAGTTTTTTCCCAACTACTGAGTCATTAAGGAAAGTAGAATGCTGAAATTAGAAAGTATTTGAGTTACAAGCAGCATGATGTCTTGACCTGCCTCAAAATTTTAAGAAGATTAACAATTCTGTAAACCAAACCAGTCCTCTCTGCTGAGGTCACCTAGACAGGCTGTGAGCTATTGCTGTGTATGGGTAAGGTGGAGATTTTTTTCCATCTTGATAATATGGAGCATACTGGTTTGAGACCATCACATCCTGGTTTAAATAGACTTTTATCATCAATGATCATAACTTTTTCAAAGTTCAAAAAACAAACACCATGATGAAACAACAAGGCAGGAACAAACTTCCAAAGGAGGTAAGGATTTCTCTGCCTCCTGAAATCATCAGATAAGTTTTTGGTAGACACATTGCAGTCAGGAATGGACTGCTGCCCTTGCCATAGGAGTGGATGAGGTGTGATGGCCTTTGCTAGAAGGTCAAAGTTTTCCTAATACCTTATGCAGCCTTCAAGCTAACATGGCTCAAACGGATCAGCTCAGAGACATAGGTGCATCCAAACATCGAGCTGCTTTCCTCCCCCAGAGCAAGTACTCATATTGTTTGTTTAACAGCAAGATGCCAGCTTTGAACTTCTGCTGGGCTGCAATATTTCCACCAGGAATTTGGACCCAATACGTCCCTGCTGTCTTCCAGAAAGCATCACATCCAACAACCATCCACTGCACAACCATTCTGCGAGAGAGCACAGAGCAATAAACTTCTACTTATTTCAAGAGCAAAAAGAAGATGCTCTGTAGATTGACTGTACAGTATTGACCATGCTGTGTGTCCCAGAACAGTCAGCCTAGCTGCAATGTGCTGTGCAGGTGCAATGCGAGTGCTTGCAAAATCCACAAGATGCTTCCCTAAGATATGCACCTACTCTAAAAGTGAGCAGTGCTTTTGTTGTTCATACATTAATGAACAGCTCGATGCTTCCTGAAAAGGTTGGATTGACAAGATCAAGTGCTGTAAAATCAAATTTGTTATGCAGTGAAAACGTTTGGGATACACAGGCATCCAGCAGCTTGGAGAGAAAAGATGGGAGGGGGCAGCTGCCATGCAATAGCTCTGTCTGGATTGCTGCAAGACTAGAAATCCCACATGAAATTAAAAGATCTTCAAGTTTTGCCCAGAAGCAGGAAGAGAGAGCATGCCTGAGCACCTGGCTCTGGAGCCTTACCCACTCTCCCTGTCTGACTGCCACAGTAAAGTGCATTGGTTAACGAGGTGATTGACACATGTCACATGCCTTACATTTCATGACTCCATGAGTCATCCAGTAAAGCCATACTGAACAGGCATACGCAGGAAAATAGATGTAGTTGCTCCAGGCCAGAAATCCAGCCCCTTGACATGATGTCAATTGAGTGATAGTCCTGCCGTCATTATCATAATTTTTGTTGCACCGTTTTAATATCATTTGCACAGCATTTATATTGTGTTTTTATGAGGAGGAAGGGCAACAGATAAAGTTTGTGCCCTGAGTGATGTTATGCACACTTTGCCACTACAAAACAACTTCCTATCCTTACAATTACACATCCTAATTTGCAAAATGGGTGTTCAGATAATTGTGTGAGACAGGGAGATGGGATGATTTGTGGAATTTTTCCTCGGGGGGGGGGGGTACATGCCTTTTCATTTGCAGAGTTTAAACCCTGACTAGAGAAAGCACTTCAAATTATGTTTATCATAAAAAAACAATTATAGCCTGGCCCAGGAGAGCTGCTCTCACTGAC